TAAATAAACCCACCGGAGGTGATCTATATGTATATAGCATGAGTTCTCGAACCGATTCAAGGTCAGGGCAAACGCTCGAACATATTTTACTTTACGATGTAAATCGGACTGTGTTTTGGAGGTCTACTCACCCGTCAGAAGCAGCAACGGCAGCAAAATCAGCAGAAATATGAGGAATCGCTTTTTCGACTTGTTTTCCGCATCCGAGGATCGCAGCAACCACGTGTCCAGACTCAGGACCGATCCAATGAATAAGTACAAATAACGCAGGAAGCTCGCGAATCCGCCTCCAACAGCCTGGGCTACTTTTCCCAGGAATCCAACCTGCTGGCTCTGCTGACGCCTAGCATAGTAGTTTTGATAGGCATTTGTCTCCGTGGCCGAGAGGTTGGTCACGCGAGTCCATACCGTGGAAACGCTGGTCACGACCAGCTGGATAAGGCGGACGAGCCACCAGCTCTGCTTCTGCTGTTGTGCAAAGGTGGCATCTAGTTCGTCTGCGGAGTCATAATTTGCCTGCTGGGTATACTTCGACTGGTAGCGGCGGCGGATGAATTCCTCCTGAGCAGGATTCTGCTGGACCATGTAGTTGACGCGCTCATCGTGATTTCCTAGGCTTCGCCTCGACATGTTAGGCATGGCCACAACTCCCGGGGCCAGCTGGCGGCGGTGGGGGGACAACTCAGAGTAGGTGTAGTCCGTCTTGGGTGTTTTGCTGCAAGAAAACATTATTAGTTGATAGGGTTCCTAAAGGATGCAGGATTGATTTACGCACTTCCAGTACTCGCCAGCATCCCTGTACTCGATGTAGGCCAGGTAGTCGCTGACATTTCCCGAGCTGAGGTTGCCGTTCGATTGGTTTAGCTTCTCCTGGGCAGAGTTGAGCGTGTTTTGTGTGGTTTCCAGCTGGGTTTTGTTCCGCGGCGTCGATGTGGCGCCCCCCGATCGCTTGGTTATGATCGACGTAACTGTGGTCTTGGTCGAGGTCTGTTTGCGTTTGGCCTCCGGGGTCATGTCGTCGCTCGAGTAGTCCGAGGTGAGCTGGGCAAAGGCCTTGCCACGGGTTTGCTTGCTGCTGCTCGACTCTACGATGTGCTCCTCCACTATCGTTCTGCAAGTAAGGGATGTAGATAGTCGTTTGAAAGATTTGGTGAAAATATTTCTATGAGTAAGCCCCTGATAACGTGCTCGAAAACTGGCGCAACTTCGAGTACAACGTATCAAAACAAAAATACAAAAATATGCTTATAAACGCGGCTGACCTTCAGCGCTATAAGCTGTTAGCCCACCCCAACATGCTCAATTTTGTGGCTAAAACGTGAAAACGAGTCTGTGATGGCCAATGTCGTCATCGAATGTGGGGGAACTGATCGGACGCTCTCTTGAATTCGGCGCGAAAAGCTAACGAAGCTCGACGAGCTGCCGCACCCTGTATGCGGCTTTGCCTTCGTTTTCTGCCCGTTTCGAAATTTAAATTCGCGCCGAGAGTGAATAACAAGAAGATGACGTCATGGCGACAAACACACGGCATACAGACACTCTCTATGAATGTGTATCGCTATACAGTCAAACTGCCCTAAGTTTATGAGCCTTTAAAAATATCTAACGATCTTTCGTTTGAAAGTCTTTGAAAATTCTTTGCTGACCCAGAATTTGAAAGTTAGTTAAGCCTAAGACGCAAATTATACATTGTGTTAAAAAATCTTTATCCAAAACTTTTGGTTGAATTATCCCAAACACAAATTTTTTAATGACAAATGGTAGTTGGGGTTTTGGAAGTTGACTGTAGTTGGGACGCAATCGTTTTAATTAACATCTGCTGTCACACGTGCCCGGAATGGAGCTTGAATTGCTGGTGGGCCTGGCATGCGGAGAGATGGGCAAAGCATTTATTTACAGTCTAACTTCCGTAACTATAAACGTCAAACTCAAAAGTATTTATACTTTTATAGACAAAAGGGTGCACAACTACTCGACTTAATTGTTTCCCAGTTAGGGGTTTGAGTTGTATTTCGGGAGTATCCCAGATACTTACTGCACATTCGTGGCCGCCGACTTCTTCTTGGGGTGGTGCACAACTCCATCGCCACCGGCGAGCAGGAAGGGGGTCTTGGAACGCGACCGCCGACGCGTTTCTATCTGGTACGTATCTTCGCTCATGATTAGATTCTTCACAAAGTGCTCCGGCCCTGCAAAGACCAAAAATAATTAACATGGGCCGCAATTTATTTGGAGTAAACATTAAACCCGTCCGTGTCTGTGTGTGTGAGAGTGTGTGCGTGCTAGGCGTGGGTTGTTTACAATTGGGCAGCTGGAAAACATTTGTGGGCTTCACTTTACTTTACTTCAGTTTACTTTACTCATTTACTTTAATGCTCGAGTGCCTGGCGGATCGAGCTTTCCTCCCAACATTAATGCCGCATTATGCAATGCGATGCGTGTGGAAATGAGCGCAGTGCCCGGTTTTAATTAGAATGCAATGGGGAGGTAAGTAGGCAGGCCATAAAGACCGCGTCTAAAAATAGGACGGAGCATTTTCGGATTGCGAATTGCTTGCCAGTGACCGTGGAACGATTGGTGGACTATGGAAGTAGATTTCTCGTTGAAGATTTGCCGTAAACTACGCCCGACCTATCGAGCATAGATTCCAGGGGGAGGGGGAGGCGGTACAGGGTGCTCCGGCAGACCACGCCATACACAAACAAAGCGTGATAATCAATACAATGAATTGCCCAAAATGGGTTCGCAGCACAGGCGCAAACATTTTGTATTTCGGTGAAATGGAAACCCAAACAAGTTTTCCGCAGCTGCGTCATAACGTAGCTGTAAAATGAAGCACGCACGCACACAAACACAATCACAACAGGGCAACGAAAAGTATTTCAGGCATTTCGCACTTAAATAAGCCACATACTTTTCTAATATTTCTCGTTCTGTTGCACTCAAAGAATTCCGTGCGATTTGGTTAGTTGAATATGCGGTTTGTTTGCAAGCGCCGCGACGATTTTAATAATAGCCTCCACTGGCGCGGCGATAAAATCACGTCTTTCCCGAGCGGCGAAAAAATTTAAATTGGAGGTGGTGAAACATCGAGGGTAACATCGATGTCATTGATGTTGTCGAAACATCGGTAATATCGATGTTTGGGAAAGCATCATCGATATTTTTCTCATTCGAACCTTAAATAATGGTCACACCAAAAAATCTAACTCCAATTCTTGCGCAAAAGACAAAATACTCTGTATTCTAAACGCAAAAATGTATAAAAATAGAAATTATGGAGGTTTTAAAATATACAAATATTTATTTATTATCTGAGATAAAACACATTTTAGTAATTACAAATTTGCCTAAGCATATCTGAGCCCACCAATCAAATGATTGTGGCGAAATAAATAACCACTCATATTCATAAAATTATAAACGATTGAATTCGAATATAAAATATGTTAAGTATTAAATGATGTAAAACTACGATTTCCACTAAGAACTATCCATTCCTACACGTAGTTTATCCCACTATCATGAGATGAATTAAATAAATTCCTTTCAACTAAATCAATCTGATAAAAAAAATATTTATTCCTGCTTTTAATTTGAAAACAATTCACTTCCTGAAGGAGTTTGTAGACCACCAGCTAACAAATAACTCAGATTACTTTGCCCATTTATTTACACCAATTCTGTCGGAATTCATTTGTTTTAAAGTGTTTATATTAATTTTACTTGGGCTTTTTGTGATTTTTTGAACTAGGAGCTGCATTTTGGGCCCAGACAGCTGTTTTAACGGAAAAAAATATAATAGAGAACAAAAAAAATAGTCTTATAGACAAGTTGATTGAAAAGCTGGTTTATTTACTTCTTGAAAGCCGATGTGTTGCTTTTATACCAACGGATGCCAGTGTGAATGAGTTGCAACAACGGCTGTATAAAAGTATCTTACATCGAAGTATCGATATCGTACATCTAGCAGCGACTCGAACCAAACGATATAAATTATGAGATACTTGACAACTCTTATAACGCGACTCGGCTAAAAAAATAGTCCCAATATACAACAACAAACCAGGAGGTTTGCTTGTTGTGATTCCATTAGAAAAACCATAAAATATGATTGAAATAACGTGTAATGATCGTCTTGGCAAGAAGGTAGGTTCAAATATTCAGTCAAACGATAGCCAGCTTGATAACCCAACGTATTGTACGCAGGTGCGCGTCAAGTGCAATCCCGACGATACAATCGGAGACCTCAAGAAACTCATTGCGGCACAAACAGGCACAAAGCACGAGAAGATTGTCCTGAAGAAGTGGTACACAATCTACAAGGACCCCATCCGCCTATCCGACTGTAAGCCCGGTTGGAATTAATCAAGCTTTGCCTTAAATTAATCTGTATTTTCAATATTTTCAGATGAAATTCACGATGGCATGAATCTGGAACTCTACTACCAGTAAATCTGCGGGAAAATGGCTTGTATAGCGTGGTTGTCCGATTTTTATAGCTACTTTGATAAATAAACAAATTTTGAATAAATACTGTATATCTTGGTTATGTTTTTATTCCCCAAGTCATACTATTCGATGGGATTTTATTGAATCTACTGCTGAGATTATATTATTTAACAACGTACTTTAAAATGCTACAGTATAAGCTCTTGAAATGCATAATTTGAAGAACATTTAGTTAAAGGAATCCTAAAAGATATGCCGCGTTTTTTTATATACTAGTCCGTAACGACTAGTACTTTAAGTAAAGGATTGTCTTGAAGAGCTAAAATTAAATAAAAATACAACTTTTTATACAGAAACTATTTTTCCCATCATTTGAAATAGTATGTCTTGAACTACAACATTGTATACATTTAATAATAAGGTCGAGTAACCGATTCTTAATTAATTTGTTATAAATTATATAAAATCAATCATTTTGCAAATAGACACATCCCCTTTTAGCACGCCCCTGTGGGGAATATGGTATTATTTTCGCCGTCTATTGCGGTGTTGCCAGATCGCAGCAGACGCGTCCGGGCAAACAATAACAAATATTAAAAACTGCATATTCAAGATACCGTGAAATGTCCATGATTCCATTTTTTCCGACGCTCAAAGTCTCCGTGGCGAATCGCTACTGGCTGGACATGGCTCCCGCTTCCGTCAGCGAAGAATCCCAAACGCGGCGCTACGAGGACGAACGCAGCAACTGGGTGAGCACTCTCAGGACTCCTTAATCCTTTAGTTTTTCTTATAATTTCACCATCCGTGCAGCGGGAGTCCCTCAAAACAGCCGGAACTGACCTACAGCCCCTTGGCAAGATGCTTACCATTCCCGGAATAGAGACCGACGACGAGGACGGTAAGTGCGGCCGGCAAATAACTGGTAATAATGCATTGGATAACCCATTTAACCACCCAATCCTTCTCCTCCAGCGAACGACGATAGTGAGGACACAGACAGTCATGACGAAGAGGACGACGAGACCAACGACCGCGTCATCCCGGTCACCCAGGACTTCTACTCCGCCGACGACATCCAGATGAACGACGAGACCTCTCCCACAGCCCCCTGAATGGGCCAACAATGCTCTCCGTATGGTGGATACACAATTATTTATTTTCGCGTCTTGTTCCCTTTACAAACTGTAACAAGTGTCGGATACTTTAGGCTTAAATAAATTAAAACATAGTAAGCAAGTTGGCTGGAGGAGTCTCCACTACATATTTCCGGAGGCTTGGCTCACTGGTTAAGGACATCAGGGGACGAATTGGGATTTTAAAGGCCCTACTTGTGCAGCGCGGCCGTCTCCAGCTTGGGCGCCGGCTTGGAGGCCAGACCCGAGAGCAGCTTCTTGATCTCGGCGATGGCCCGGCCGGGATTGAGGCCCTTGGGACAGGTGCGCGTGCAGTTCATGATGGTGTGGCACCGGTAGACGCTGAAGGGGTCCTTCAACTTGCTCAGCCGCTCGGCGGAGTTCTCATCACGCGAGTCGATGATCCAGCGGTAGGCCTGCATCAGCACGGCGGGACCCAGATACTTCTCGGCGTTCCACCAGTACGAGGGGCACGAGGTGGAGCAGCAGGCGCACAGAATGCACTCGTACAGACCGTCCAGTTTGGAGCGGTCCTCAACGGACTGCAGGTACTGGGCCTTGCCCTTCTTCTCGCCGGCCTCGTTTCTAAGAAAGGAATAGGATTAGTTTAGGCTTATGTGTCTGCCCAAAGTACTCACTTGCGCTGCAGCCAGGGCTGGATGTTGCGGTACTGCTCATAGAAGTTGTTCATGTCCGGCACCAAGTCGCGCACCACGTACATGTGGGGCAGAGGATACACCTTCAGGGACTTGGAGGTGTTGATGTCGATCTTGCTGATGCAGGCCAGCGTGTTGGTGCCGCCGATGTTCATGGCGCAGGAGCCACAGATACCCTCGCGGCAGGAGCGCCGGAAGGTGAGTGTGGGGTCCATCTCGTTCTTGATCTTGATCAGGGCGTCCAGCACCATGGGTCCGCACTCGCGCAGATCCAGCTCGTAGGTCTGCATGTAAGGCTTCTCGCCGGCGTTGTCCGGGTTCCAGCGGTAGATCTCGAACTTCTTGATCTGCGGCTCCTGGGCTTCCTTGGGCTGCGCCTGCTGATCCAGCTGGGCGGTGCCATTGCTGATGGATCGAAGCTGGAAAATCGGATAAATCAAATATCACTGGGAAAGTCACGCAATAACAATTTGTATCCAACAGCCCAGTGAAAAATCGTTTACATAACAGCAAATGCCCGTTTGCAATTTCCATAATTACGACGCTTTAGCTTGCATGTTTATCGTTTGTCTATATCTCCCGGACCCCCGATTTCGGCCTTATATAACTGCACGGGCCCAAAAGCCGCCCCCGCCCAGCCCGGAAATTCTGGCCATAACACCAATGGACCACCTCATCCGCCGCTCACCTGGTTTCTGGCCACCAGAGATCCCACGCGGCTCAGGACTTGTCTCGCCTCACTCGCCAACATTTTCGTCGCTGTTTCTGCTGCAATTGAAACGGCACTGCGTTTGCAATTATCTATTTGCTAAGAGCAAATTGAGTGTTTTCCTTAATTTTCGTACAAAAAGTTGCACGAACTAAGAGCGTAGTGTGGCCGTGGCTGAACCAAGATGTTAAAGCAAACGTACTAAAATATACCACAGAAAAAATGCAGGCTCTGGTCACACATGATATAACGTATTTTCAATTTGAAAATTTTTGTGTGGGCTTATTTCGGTGTCGGTTTAGACAACACTTGATTTCGTTACTTCTCTTGCTTTCTTAAAGTTGTATAGCTCAGTATTAAAGGCAACCAAATTAAATCGAGAACAGACCGATTAGATCGGATGACGATATGCTATGAACTTAATTTAATGAAGTTAATGTATATTAAAACCCATCAAATCTGATGACTATATCTTTCAATTCAAATACGACTTTACTTGCACACTATAATATATCATACAATAAACATAAAATAACCCTAAAATTGAGAAATTCTACTACTTTTGTATTTAATGGCACCATACATTTTAGGGTCAAAACAAGTAAAGAAATCCAAAAAATAGAAAATAATTAACATGAAATCGGTCAAAAATTTCATCAACGTTAAAATGACAAATCTGAATGCAGATTTTTATACCCTTGCAGAGGGTATTATAATTTTGGTCAAAAGTGTGCAACGCAGTGAAGGAGGCATCTCCGACCCTATAAAGTATATATATTCTTGATCAGGATCACCTCCTGAGTTGATATAGCCATGTCCGTCTGTCCGTCTGTCCGTCTGTCAGTCTTTCTGTTTCTACGCAAACTAGTCTCTCAGTTTTAAAGCTATCGAATTGAAACTTTGCACACACCCTTCTTTCCTTTGCACGCAGTATATAAGTCGGAACGGCCGGGATCGGCCGACTATATCCTATAGCTGCCATATAACTGATTGATCGGAAATGCCATAACTTTGGTGTTTATAAAGTTAGGAAGTTGGGACTTTCTATGGGCTTTATATTTGGCCAATCAATCCAACCTACCAAATTTCATAAGGATCGGCCGACTATATCCTATAGCTGCCATATAACTGATTGATCGGAAATGCTATAACTTTGGTGTTTGTAAAGTTAGAAAGTTGGAATTTTCTATGGGTTTTATATTTGGCCAATCAATCCAACCTACGAAATTTCATAAGGATCGGCCGACTATATCCTATAGCTGCCATATAACTGAACGATTCGAAATGCCATAACTTTGGTGTTTTTAAAGTTAGGAAGTTTGGATTTTTATGAGTATTAAGAATGCATCATAGGAATAATTTTGGAGAATATAATTATAGAGTATTCCGCAAGGGTATATCAACTTCGGCTCCGCCCGAAGTTAGCTTTCCTTTCTTGTTAGATAATCAAAACACGCGACTTTAGAGGTATGCCACTCTGGAATCGGATAAAGTTTGATAAAGCTGTGGAATCTGGAAGTCTAATTATGGGACCCATTTTTTCAAGTCATCGAAAACCTAGAAATAATTAACATGAAAATGCTTCAAAATTTTGATCAAAGTTAAAGTGACCAATTTGAATGCATATTTTTAGAGAATCGAAACACGAGACTTTAGAGGTATGCCACTTAGGAATCGGATTAAGTTTGGTAAAGTTATGGAATCTCGAAGTCAAATTATGGGACCCATTTTTTTAAGTCAGCGAAAACTTAGTAATAACTACATGAAAATGGGTCAAAATTTTGATGAACGTTAAATTGACAAATTTGAATGCAGATTTTTAGAGAATCGAAACACGAGACTTTAGAGGTATGCCACTTTGGAGTCGGATTATGTTTGGTAAAGTTATGGAATCTCGAAGTCCAATTATGGGACCCATTTTTTTAAGTCAGCGAAAACTTAGTAATAACTAACATGAAAATGGGTCAAAATTTTGATGAACGTTAAATTGACAAATTTGAATGCAGATTTTTAGAGGATCGAAACACGGGTCTTTAGAGGTATGCCACTTAGGAATCGGATTAAGTTTGGTAAAGTTATGGAATCTCGAAGTCCAATTATGGGACCCATTTTTTGAAGTCAGCGAAAACTTAGTAATAACTAACATGAAAATGGGTCAAAATTTTGATGAACGTTAAAATGACAAATTTGAATGCAGATTTTTAGAGAATCGAAACACGGGTCTTTAGAGGTATGCCACTTAGGAATCGGATTATGTTTGGTAAAGTTATGGAATCTCGAAGTCCAATTATGGGACCCATTTTTTTAAGTCAGCGAAAACTTAGTAATAACTAACATGAAAATGGGTCAAAATTTTGATGAACGTTAAATTGACAAATTTGAATGCAGATTTTTAGAGGATCGAAACACGGGTCTTTAGAGGTATGCCACTTAGGAATCGGATTAAGTTTGGTAAAGTTATGGAATCTCGAAGTCAAATTATGGGACCCATTTTTTTAAGTCAGCGAAAACTAAGTAATAACAAACATGAAAATGGGTCAAAATTTTGATGAACGTTAAATTGAAAAATTTGAATGCAGATTTTTAGAGAATTGAAACACGAGTCTTTAGAGGTATGCCACTTAGGAATCGGATTAAGTTTGGTAAAGTTATGGAATCTCGAAGTCCAATTATGGGACCCATTTTTTTAAGTCAGCGAAAACTTAGTAATAACTAACATGAAAATGGGTCAAAATTTTGATAAACGTTAAAATGACAAATTTGAATGCAGATTTTTAGAGAATCGAAACACGAGTCCTGAGAGGTATGCCACTTTGGAGTCGGATTAAGTTTGGTAAAGTTATGGAATCTAGAAGTCCAATTATGGGATCTATTTTTCAAGTCATCGAAAATTTAGAAATAATTAACATGAAAATGGGTCAAAATTTTGATGAACGTTAAATTGAAAAATTTGTTGCAAGCTTTTGACTAAAATTTCAATACCCTCTACAAGGGTGTACAAATTTACAAGTGTGGTTAATTATTAGTATAAAGCATAAAGCTTTCGTTACTCCGCTATGGGTTTAAAAATGAGCTACAAATAAAAATTATTTATTTTAAAGATACATACCATATAATACATACATTTCACTGAATTTCGATTGCTAATTTAATTATACTGAAAGTTGTGAAATGTAAATTTTATAAAGACTTGTATTAGGACTAATGTCTTAAGAGCTGCAAACTTTTAATTGAACGTGCATTAATTAAATTTGAGAATTTGATGAAGCTACTGGGTGTTAGATTTCATGTGCGTTATTTTTGCAGCAATAGCAGCTTATCGTTTTCATATTAAGTGATGAATTCATTGGAAGTATGCTTTGCCGAGATTAAAAATATGTATCTATTATGAATTTATTGGCTGTGCTAAAAATATCTACTTAAATACCCAAAAATGTAGCGTATATCACTTTTTTATGGCCACCATTTTTTGACAAATGCCTTTAAATTTTATTTAATTAGGGCAATGAGTATTCCATAGTTTGGGGACTCGACTACAACGTTCTTTATTGTGTTGTTGTTTTGTATGCTAATATTATTTTGGCACTTGAGAAATCTCTACCTTTACGGGTACTTGGCAATATCCTGGGCCAACTATTATGTAAAACTTTTTAAATGGCGTTTGGCGAACCCCGAGACAACAGTACGCCGACTTTGTCAATTGTTCAGTGACCTTTTGTTGTTGGGAAAACTTTTGCG